TAAAACACTCAGGAGAGAGCACAGGTGGCTGGGAGATACTTCCCTTCTGTACCTTCTGAGTTTTGGACTATGCGAATGTATCATCCTTTCAAAAAGTGAGCAGAAGATTAATTTCTCCCTTCCTGTCTGTGCCCCCACCCCCAGCAGGAAAAAAAAATGGACTTAGAGGACAGATGGACCTGGGTGTTCAAATCCCAGCTCTGTCTAAGTGATCTTAGGCAACCACCTAACCTCTAATGCTCCGTGTTTTCCATCTACCCAATAGAGATAATGGTAGCAACTGCTTCACATGGTGGCTGTTAGGTTAAATGGGATTGTTACCACACTACCTGGTGACGCACTCAATAAAGGTTCCAACAGCGTAGTAACAACAGGAATAACAATAGAATATGATCTGATCTCTCTGGGCCTCTGTTAGCCAGTTGTAAATTTCATCTCTTTGCCTGTCCCTTCCAACTTTACTGAGTTCTTTTAAAATCCAGACCATGGGCCTTGATCTTTACTGACCAAGTTGTGTATGAAGCCCAGCCCTAGCCCTTTTAAGGGGCACTGTGTGGAACGGCCCAGGCTCTCCAGATTGAAGCTTCTCCCTCTCCACCCTCCAGCCCTCGAGCCGCTGTGGGGCAGTCCTTGAGCAGCAGTTACAGCAGTTTCTGCAGGAGCGGGAACTGCTAAAAGCACAGGTGGCAGAGGTGAGACTTTGCAGAGGGAGGGATGTGGAAGGAAGATGACCCCAGGTGGCCAGGAGCAGGTGAGGACCAGTGACAGCCCTTCCTAACTTCTGGGTCCATTCTTGCAGGTGACGGAGTGTCTTAAGAAAGCTCAGCTAGAAAGAGACGCATACGCTCAACAGCTCAAAACAGAGAGGGCGCGGTGGCAGCAGCAATTGCTGAAAATGGCAGGAGAAGTGAGAGCTGACCCTTCAGCCCCCGCCTTATATGGCTCACTGGATCTTCCCGGGCATCTGTCAAAAGAATAGTCCAGCCAGGGGTGGTCATGAGACTGGGCTTTGTGGAGCTGGGGGCGGAGAGGGAGATGGCAGCCTGTTCAGCCACCAGCCCCTCTCTCCAGAGCCCTTTCCCCCTGTGCTTTGGGCAGATTGAAATATTCAAAATGGAGAAAAGACAGGACGCAATTAAAATTGAGAAGCTGAAGGGGAGCCTTGCCCACCTACAAAACCATCTGGGTAAGATGGGGCTGGTGTGACCAGGGAGCAGGGCTGGCATCAGATGGCTGTGGGGGTGGCTTAGAGTGCCCCAAGGAGGTGGGTGGCTGGAAGGGCTTTGAGGCAGAGGGAAAGAGGTCTGTGCTAGGAGACGGCAAGTCTCGTAATCTCCATGAGCCTCAGTGTCCCCATCAGAAAGAGGGAGGGGTGACTGTTGTCAGCCACTGACAGTGCTCTCTATGTGAAAGTGGCTTGGAAGACTGGCTACGATTTGGGTGCGAGGAATCATTAGCAGTGAGGCCAGGTTTGGGGAGCCTGACAGGAGCTGTGCACCAAGAAGAGATTTTTTGTTTTTCGTTTTAAGAATCCAGAGGCCCTTATTGTCTGCTTCCTTTCTCAGCTGAACCCCCAATCCCGAAACCCCCAGCAGGGCACTCTGACTTGGAGAAAAAACTAAAAACTGAAATCAAGTACCTGAGAGACGAGCTGCGGGAACAGCAGAGACTGCAGGAGGCGAAAATGCGGCTCCTGGAGCAGGAGGTGAGGCTGAGAGAACAGGAGGAGAGGCTTCTTGAGCAGGAGGGGCTCCAGGAGCAGGAGGAGGAGCTGATGTGTTGCCCACCTGGGGAGACTGCCCTCCTTCCCATCCCTCCAGGCCTTTGTTTTCCAACCTGTAAAATGGGGGAGTGTATGAAATGGGGCTTCTAAAGGCACCTGTGAGCACAGCATTGCTCTGATGGCTGTGGGAGAAAGGAGACAATTTTTCTAACCTGCCTCCACCCTTCCTGGTGCCATGGGAGGGAGACACCAAGTTCTGGGGTCTCCAGCTGCAGTGGGTGGCCGCTGATTGCTTCTCTCTGTCCAGAAGAATGAGAAGAGGAGCGCACTGCATTTGGAGCAGGAAGGAAAGGAGCTGCAGGAGAAGCTTGGCGAACAGGAGACGGTAACCCCTGCCCCATCCAGGAGGGCTGGGAGGCAGGCATCGGCCTCTGGGGAGGGGAGGTGCAAGGCCACAGGCAGCTCAACCCTGGGGGCAGGTGCCCTCACACCCTCCAGGGCAGTCCTGTGACCGTTTCTTGCTTCCTGCCCTCTGACTTTTAGAGGTGGGTAGCCCTGGGCTCCTCCCAGGTCTGGACAAAATTGTCCCAGCTCGAGGCATGGAGGCCCCCAGTAATAGGGGAAGAGACAGTGGTGTGAGAGGCTCTTTATGCTCGGGGGGGCGGCTCACCTCTGTAATCTGAGCACTTTGGGAGGCTGAGGCAGGAGAATCACTAAAGATCAGGAGTTTGAGATCAGCCTGGCCAACATGGCGAAACCTCATCTCTACTAAAATTACAACCACCACCACAACAAAGCTGGGCGTGGTGGTGCACACCAGTAATCCCAGCTACTCAGGGGGCTGAGGCATGAGCATCACTTGAGCCTGGGAGCTGGAGGTTGCGGTGAGCTGAGTTTGCACCACGACTCTCCAGCCTGGGCCACAGAGTGACACTCTGTCTCAAAACAAAACAAATCATATCAAAGCAAAACAAAATGAAAGTCTCCTTAGATCTAAACTGGATTCCGGCCTTGATTCCACTAGTCACCATTCGACTACTTTGCATCTCTCAGTCTCTCTTTCTTTAACTTCCAAAGGACGTTAGCGTTTTCCTTGTGTGGGTGCTGAGGATTAAATGAGGTGATGCGTGGAAAGCATTAGGCATGTAGCACACTTGGCAGATGGTGGTCGGCTCCCTGTGCTTTTCCACCAGTCTGTGGCCTACAGTTTAAATGGTGGAAGGAAGGACGTGAGATTTGAGGCTGGGGAAGGAGGCATGGGGTTCTAGGCAAGGGAGGCAGTCTCTCAGGCTGGAGCCAGGGGCCAGGTGCCTGGGCAGGCCACCTTCCTCTGTGGTCCCTCCCAGACCCCTTTATGCTCTTTTTTTCTCCACCTTCTGATTTCTCTGGACCCTCACCCCTTCCGGGAGCCAGTGTTCAGACACCATCGTGACTGACAGTGCACTCTCCAAGGCCCCAAGGGAAGGGGCTGCGCTCCACCTCCCTGCCCCGTCTGTCCTGTGTATGCCCCTACAAGAACGCTCCCCTCTTGCCTTCAGGTGCCATTTCTGAACACTGCTGGAGCCGGTGCCCAGGAGGAGCAGGCATGGCTCTGTGAGCAGCTCCAGAAACAACAGGGGTGCTGCCAGCACCAGGCTCACCCGGTGGCCTCGGCCCTGAGGGAGCCAGAGGCAGCGGCCGCAGCCACAGGGACTAGGAGAGACCGTGGGTGTGGGGAGACCCAGCGGGCCCTGCAGGGCGCCATCGACAAGCTGCAGGTGAGTGAGTCCTGGCAGGGGTCATGAAGGGTGGGGTGGGGCAGGTCGCTGCCGAGATGTGACCCCATTATTTTGGCTCCAGAATGAGTTAATGGACGCCGTGAAGGAAAATACGGACCTGAAGGAGCGGGTGGAAAAAGTGGAACTCGGACTCATCCAGCTCTCTGGAGAGAGAGACATGATAAGTGAGCAGGAGGCCAGGGCAGGGCAGGGGAGCTGGAGGGTGGTGGGAGGGGCCCCAGTGTCTGAGCCTGTCCTCCCGCAGGAAAGTCCATCAAACCAAATGACCATCAGACAGCAGTGGCCAAGACCCAGCACCAGAAGAACGATGTTAGCATGATGTTCAAGGTTGAGGAGGGGATCAAGGTAAGGTGTACAATATCTCTGCTGGGGTGAGGGGGATGGGGGTGGGTATGAGCGTGGGTGCCGGCACCGGCGTGGCATCTGAGCACCCCTATCTCCAGGTGAAGCTGCTGGAGCTGCAGGGCCCAGTGATGCAGCTTATGATTGGCCACGAGGTCCAGCACCCTGCTAATGATTCCACCCCAGGGGCCCCAGCCCCCCAGGAGCTTGGTGCTGCTGACAAGGATGGTGAGTAGAGCCCTCAGGTGGGGTGGGCAGGCAGGAGCAGGGGAGGCTGGCACTGTACTCAGATTCCCACCTCCCTCTCTCCAAAGAATTTTATGAGATGAGCTCGGACGACGACAGCGACAGCCTGGAGCCTGCAGGAGGGAGGGTACACCACACCCCACTGCACAGCAGATTGCTCACCGCTGTGTGAGCTGCAGGATGTCCAGCAACACCGACCCTTGGGCAGCAGTCCCTCTGTGCCATGCTTTTACCGGGCTGCTGCGAAGGAGGAGGTAAACATCACCATCAGCTAAGAGCTGGCCAAGAAATTTACAAAGGAACAAAGCTATAGGATTAGTCTTCTACATGTTTACTTTATTTCAATGTTAGAGCCACTCATGATGATTTTTGTTTGTAATTTATAGTTTATTTGTTAAAAGTTAAAGGAGAGTGGGTCTTCGTGTGGCTTTCACTGATGTTCACTCTGGCATCCTTTAGCATCTTTTGTTTTTAATTTGATAATCGTAGGTCATTAGCACGCCTATCGAGTTTGCCCTTACATGGTGGGAGTTCAAACACACAAAGACCCACTATCGGCACAAAACCATTCTCGCTAGTTTGGAATAGGCTGCCATGGTTTTTAACGTTATTGCAGCATGTATATTCACTATGGAATTCAGATACAATTTGCTTATGTTCTGCTATGGTATTTGATCAAATCCTAATTACAGTGAGCTCAATATGTGCTTTGCCCTCACGTGCACACTGTTTATTATTTGTAAGGTGCAGCTATATGTACTGACATCTAGAGTTGTTGAAAAGCCGAGAACTGGAGACGGCCTTTCTTCCATTTTCTGTGCATTGCAAATGGGAGTAATAACATTTTTGGGAGCTTTTAACATCTCACAGAAGAGGAAAGTGGCCTGCTCTGGCAGGTATGTGCAGAATGGAGTATTTCATTCTTTCCCATGCCAAGAACGAGCGCTGTGCTGTGGCAGTTCTTTTAGGGTTTTTCTGTGCCCTGGGCTCATGAAGATGCTGCACCATGAGCTGCGGCAGCTGTACTCTTTTTTGATGACCTAAAAAGGGATGATTTCTGAGGAATAAAAGGCTCCCATCTTTGACTGTGGATGTGGAAAACCTTTCCTAGCTTAGAGCATTTATATCTATAATACATGGTAAAGTCAGGGTTTATGTTACCTGTTTTAATGACATGACTCTAAGTCTCAGTACACAGAAGGGCACTGGTTGGCCTTCTTCTTAATGTATTTAGTAAAGATCATAAGAAATCCTTTAAGATAAAGTGTAATATATATATACATGAATGGAACTTTGTATCATAGAGTGGATAGGCACTAAATATTGATGACTGAACAGTTAATGTCTTAGGACACTTGGTATAGTGCCTTGCACACAGAAAGAGACCACGGATGAGATTATCCGTTTGTATCATTTCACAGTTTCAAAAATTGCTATTTATTACAGTTCACATAGAAAGGTGCTGATAAAATGTCCATTTTTAGAAAACATCTCCAACAACAACAAAAAGAAATCCTTTAAGAGTTTAAATATCCAGAAAAAGAAATAAAATTTTTAATAAAAATTTTAAAAAGTGTAAATGTCCCTGGAACAGGCATACAGGTTGTAGACAATAATGGACTAGAGTGCGGGAAAGCTGTGTGACACCTGGCATCCCTCTGTGTTCAAGGAGCTTCTTTGAGGCTACAAGACTGATTTGACCATCCAGACTACTCTGGCTAATACCTATTCTTCAACCACCTTGGTTACTCCGACATAGGAATTGCCTTCGTTTTCTTCAATAAAAAGGACTTTAAACAACAACCACAAACAAAAAATAACAACCACAGACATTATTATAAACTAATATATGTGAGAGTACTTGGCTGAAACAAAAAGGAGTCTCAGTAGGGAGAATTGTACTATATTTGAAAATCAAGTTTATGTAACTTAAAATGTTTATAGACTGCATGCCATCTACTGTTTGCGAATGTCAACGTATTATCAGGAAAAGTGTCTGTACAATCACAGAGTTTTATTTCCTCACCAAGTTCTTTACCAAGAGTGAAATATGTTTTGCTATCTTTCGGTTTCAGTTAGAGGCATATTTTGTGCAAGATTTCTGTTAATGTGCCTCTACATTATGAATGAATTATTTCAGTCAGACATTGCCTAAATCATAACTTTATGATGCTTGGGACAGAATCAACAGTTGAGACTTCATGAAGTTCTAATGTCTGTGTGCCAAAATACGTCCCATTGTTAGGATGGAGGGACATATGTATGTGTGCTCCCTGAAGTGGAGATTCCTAGTTACTGACCATCTCCATGTTTAGCATTTGGCATCCTCATGATACTTTCATAAATATGACATTAATAGGAGATCATTAATACGATTTTACAGATGGAATAACACATTTCCCTGCTTTTCCTAAAAGAGTACAAATATTGGGTCCTGGTGACTTGAACTAACTCTTCCAAATTGTAGGAATCTATCAATGTATCAGATAAACGCAGTTTCAGAATGATCAAGGAAAGCTGTTAGACCAAATAATGCGGCAGATTGACAGTGGTAAGATTTCTAGCCTGGGGCTTTAAAATGGAGTTAAAGTTCTGCTCTGTGTTTTATTCCTGAACTTGCCGCTTTTGCATTCTTTGAGTTCAGTTTAAAGACAGTTACTCTAAGTCCATTTTCAGCCCTCAGGTTGAAATCGTACCTCTGAAAATGGACTTACAGTAACTGTCTTTAAACTGAACTCAAAGGATGCAAAAGCGGCAAGTTCAGGAATAAAACACAGAACAGAATTTTAAGTCCATTTTAAACCCCCGGGCTAGAAATCCTACCACTGTTAATCAGCCACATTATTCGGTCAAACGGTTTTTCTTGATCATTCTGAAACTGCGTTTATCTGATACATTGATAAATTATTTCAAAGGGGTTTTGATAGTTCAAATCACTTCACTTTTACCCTAAGAAATAGAAATGACTAGGGCTGACCTTCAGATAGTGTTTAGCATCTGTACCCAATCTGACAATAATGCGTTCATCAAGTACCTATGGAGTAAATCACATACAGGCATATTTAAGCTGAATGTCAGACTGGAAAATACATTTACTATAGTAACTGAAATATCACTCTGTGTAGGTATTTTGTCATCTATTTAAGAAAAAACTAAAAAGAATGGAAGTCATATGACAGTGACTTAAGTCTTTCTTCAAAGTGCTTGCAAGTCTTCTGCAGTACTTCATTCAGCCAAGTATTTGTTCTCTTCCTCATTCAGTAGAAGGCAGCTTTCAATTTGCTTAGAAGGCAACATCAGAAGGTTAGCATTCATCAATAAAATTCATAGAATTTTATTTTGTTTTCATATTTGTGTATGTTTATTTTAGATAACTGAAACTTCACAGAATTTAACAGCAAATAAAGTTTAAAAATTTAATTCTGTACATTAGCTCCGACTATCTCTATTTTACAATCTATAAGGTTCATGCCATAGTTCAGCACCAACAAGGTCCACACAAAACTGTTTAAGCATCTTCTTATCCATCCTGTGTGATCGTTTTTGTTTGTCGTGGTTGTTTTTAAGGTAAAAGTCCTACTTTCAGACCTTGAAGTGGAATCCCTCTAGTCAGAGTACAAAACTTGGGTTGTACCTTCTTATTTTCATTAAACAGATACAAAAAAAAAAAAAAGGAAAAGAACTGTGTTCCACCATTAATTTAGGTTGTCAGTCTATATGTTGAATTTATAACACTGATGCATGAGAAGTAACCTACTAATGCCCTGCCCCTATTCTTCCCCTCCATTTAAAATTTTTAAAAGGCAACCAGAAAAATGTTTCATTTATTCTTTAAAATAAGGTGCAAAGAAGGATTACAACAACAAACGTCCTCATCCACACCTCCAATAACAGCTCACTATTTAGCATAATCTACCATGAGCTGATTCAGGGGCTCACCTAGAGCTGTATTCACAGCTCCTGAATGTACCGTGTTTGCTGTACCAGAGGCCTGCTCAATGGCAGCGTCTCTCTGTTCAGAGGTCATTACAAAAATACATAGAATTTTCAAATGTGGATTCAACTGAATGAATTTGAATTTCTGTAGGAAGAATCAAAATGCCTATTTAAAGAGTACAATATATGGTAATCATTTTAAAGGATTTCATTAAAACTGATAGATTTTCCAGAAATGAATAAAAATCAGTTCTGAAACCAAAGCTGATTTTAAGAAAATTTGGAAATGTAAATCAGTCCTATCCTATCCATAATATAGCTTCTCCAAAACTTTATCTTAAGAGTCATTTTCAAGATAACTATTAAAACATGTAACTGCTATCTTAATGTTTTGAAATTACTTAAACATTTTAAAATATGAATGTCATAGTTTAAAAGAAACCAGGGGAAGGAAAAGTAGAGAAAGAAATGCTAATTCCAGT